AATCAATGAAAATATTTTTTAAAAAAAACGACAAAATAAACTAAAATATTATATTTAAGATCAAATTAAACTATAACTAATTCTTATATTAACTATGGATGGGAATATTTTATTTGATCAGTCTCCTCAACATTTTTGAATGTTTCGATGGAATTGAATTTTATATCTTTTTGTTAAGCTTGTAAATTTGTCGTTTAAAATTAAAAAGTAACAATCCATAATATATGGATATGAGTGCTTTAATAACGCTATTTTATTTGAGTATGCGTGGTTTGTATCATATAACTTTATTTGTGACTAGATTGACCTGGATCCAGCCATAGCTAGATTTTTTTTTTGTTGCCAAAGTATTGTTAGATTAGTCATTAGTGATTTTGAATAATTATGTCAATCAAACCCGACTTTGGATTCTTTGCCAGAGAATGAGAATCACGTGGTCCTGATGTGATATTCCACCAATGCCCCCCTTGCAATCAATCTTACGTGGAAGCCCCTACATCATCTTCAAACATGTCTCCAACCCCCAAAATTTTAAAACCAGGACCAAAATAATTTTCGAAACTCAAAATAAAACCAAAGACTTGTTTACGTCTGTTTATTTTTTAAGTATTTGTAAGTATTTTATATCAGTCAAAATAAATTTTTTATCACATACTTATCTCGTATTCTATATGTTATTATTAAAAAATTACTTATAAACTATTTTAAACAAGCTATAAAAATATGTTCATCTTACATACAACTTATAAGATTTGAATTTTCTTCAAAAGTATGCAGTCAATGTTATGGATGTCTACAAGTTTTTGAGGTTTTAATGAAACCACAAAAATTACAATAAATGCAGCAATTTTACCCTAATAGTTATCTCAGTTAATTTTAAATTTTAGTTTGACCCAATTACTCACATGGCATGTCACATGGCATGCTTATTTTCTAAGTTCACACTAATTTAATTCTCATTAAAAAAAAATAGAAAAAGGTAATACAAAAAGATAAGTTTTAATAAAAATAAATTTAAAATATTTTATTCATTTAGTGCATTTTTAGCATGTAAGAACAAGAAAAAAATGAAAAAAAATATTATAAATTTTAAAAAATAAATAAGTCATGATGACTATTCTTATAATAATTTTAACTATAAATATAATAATTTTTACTACTCAAAATTCATTAAAATCACTTATTTATTATTTTAAATTTTTTTCTGTCATTTTCTTTAAGAATAAATTACAAAGTGAGAACGGCATCATTAAAGGGGTTCAATTTAAAAACAAACAGATCCCAATAAATTCAATGGTACAATTAACATCAAACATTGGTAGCATTCGATTGCAATTAGTGTAGTTGTCGTAACGATCAATTGACCGATCAAATGAAAACAAACGAGGCTTTGAATTATATCCACACAACAGGGGACCCACACGCCCGGCAAGCTTTTTCACACAGTATATTGTGGGACCCAGCCAACCATGACGCAAAATTGCAAATCAATATGAAGGAATTCTTGGGTACTTTGAGAGTACCAACTCATCTAAATATTTGTCCAATCACAATGCACCGTCATGCTGTCAGATAAATGAAATAATACCTCACGCCCGCTCTTCCTCTTCCCGCACTCTTCCGGTTCCTGATGCCATTAACTCTCTCACTCCTTGGCAGAACAGAGGAACACGGCCCCAAGGAGTGAGAGAGTGAAATTAAAAAAAAAAAAAAGCCGCAATTGGGTCATCCATCAGCATACATTATGCAGCCCTTAAAAGCTCCTCAAAGTGGGATCATCAAGGACGGCATCTTTTCGGCAAGGTTTTTTTTTTAAATTTTAAAAAAAGGATGAGAGAATCACAAAAAAAATCCCATAAAATTAAAAATTACATATAAGAATCTGTTCATAAAAATTGTTTTCAAAGCACATACTAATATTGTAACGGATCCCTATTTATGATTTTTTTATTTCTGCAGTTTTTTTTTGTAATTTTCCCAAAAAGAATCCTATCCTTTTGTGGACAAAAACAAAAAAACTTATTTAGTAATTTGTTTTTAGTTGAGTGTTTTAAAAAACAAAAAATAGTAACATGTTTTTAAAAAATCAAAAAACCAAGACGACATTTAAAAGTTTTTTGTTTTTGTTTTTGTGTTTTTTATTTTTTGTTTTGAAAAGTTTTGAGAAATCTTCTTCTCTTCTCACCTACTATCTACCACTTATTATTAGCAAAGACAGCTATCACTTACCAAGTATGATTTTTTATAATTTTTTTTAAGCATGATTTTTTAAAATTATTATCCAAACAAATTCTTTTATCTTTTGTTTTCAAAACTTATTCTAAAAAACAGTTATATAAAATTATTTAAAAATAAGAAAACAAAAAACAAAAAGAAACACACCCTGAATAACTTGAAAATATTTACAAATGAACGTTTAATATTTCAAAGTTTTTTTTTGTTCTGAAATATTTAGGAAGTTTTATTTCATAATATTTTTTAGGGAAAATTTCAGAAAAGGTCATTGGAATATAAGAAATTTCAGATTTGGTCATGGAATTTCAAAAACAACAAAAAGGGTCAGTGACCCAATCTGTCATTTGTCAATTAAGAGGAATTGACAATTTTGCCCTCATTTGTATTCATTCACTACAATGATTTAAGGAATCACTATAAGGGTTTAGGCATTATCTAGATTCATGTAGCGAATAACTACTCACTTTTTCATATTCAGGTGTCTTGTTATTAACTACAACTAATTTTGTAATCACTAGAACAATGTAAGTATTACCTAGATTCGTGTAGAGAATAACTACTCACTTTTTCATAGTCAGGTATCTTATTATTATCTGGTACCTTATTATTAACTACAAATAATCATGTAATCACTAGAACAATGTAAGCGTTATCTAGATTTTTGTAAAGAATAACTACTCACTTTTGTTTAGCCAGGGGTAAAATTGTTAATTGGTCTTAATTTCACAAATGACATATTGGGTCACTGACCCTTTCTGTCATTTTCGAAATTCCAGGACCCAATCTGGAATTTCATATATTCCAAAGACCTTTTCTAGAATTTTTCTTATTTTTTATCTTAAATTGTAATTTACTGTTAAGTTTGGCTGTTTTAAAAAACATGAATCCAATTTGACTGTGATAATAACTCCTTAAAAAAAGAGAAGGGTGAAAAAGAAAGTGTAAAGGGGGGGGGGGATAGAGCACGTCCATAGAGGTACCAAACAACTATTAAGGATTCCTCAATTATTGATCGATAAGTAATGGTTCCTTAAAATTAATAGACTCGTAATATATCGATTTTTTTTTTGTCTTGGTCAAACGATTATAGAATATAATGTAGAATGTAAAATTTATCTCACATTCTACTATTGATAAATTATACATTATACTCTCTCCTCTATCTTTCAATTCTTTTCTTTCAAAACGACAATAGAGGACTAAGTGGAATTGTTGCAATAATATGAATATTTGAGGGAAAATATAATTTCAAACATAATTAACTAATTTTATTGGAAAGGTCATATAATTTTTATTAGAAATACTTAGGTTAAATTCCTTATGTTTATTATATTAAATTTTTTGACGTGCTTTTCATTTTACTCTTATTTTAAAAAAATCAATAATCAATTATCGTCGTGATCATCATTTGTCTGTTTATAGGTGTCACTATGTCAGACTGTGAGTCTCCCTTTCTCATCATTTACTGATTCGACTCCTTCTCTTTGGACCCCTTCTCTCCTTTTGTTATCATTTTATGTCACTTCACTTGGAAAAGTTTGTCCATGTGTTATTATTGGCTCTCTGTTTTTTCCTTTTTAAACCATGGGTTGTTGGCTTATTTAGGATTATATCTCTTTTTCTAAATATAAAGTCTAATTTATAATATAAATTTGGTTAAAATTGAGATATTTTCCTATGAAAAATAATCTTATTAAAAGGCACTAGTATAAGCATTCCTATTAATAGCAATTTGAACTTTAATCTATTTAATCTATTACAAGAGATTAGTCTCTCCTACCAAATCTAGTCTCGGAGAAGATTCAGATCACCCATTTCAAAAAAGACATGCACATATGGGTGTGTTTAACTTAACATCTGTCCCATTCTCTGTTCCCTTCCTTTTTCTGACCTATTTTAGTCACCCACTTACCCAATGTAATAGCTATCATGGCCCCTCTTCCAAAAAAAAAAAAAAAACTTAACGGGGTATCTTGTGTAGAGCATGGAGTTTAAAAAAAATTATTATGAAAATAAAAATTGTTATAATTATTATATTCATTTAAGATTTTTTTGGCTAAGTATTATATAAGATATTACCTCATCATCATGTTGATGTGATTATTACGTAGATCAACATATATTTATGTGCGCAAACATTCTTTAGTGATGGCCAAAGATCAAAAGATGGGAAGACAAATGAGTTAAAATTGTATCTAATTCAAGAGGAACAACACTTACAAAAAAAAAATGAATATAATAATATGTAGATTTGGAAAATTTTGTTAAAAGATACTATAGCACTACTCCTTAATATAATAGCCAATTCACTATGAAACTTAAATGCCTAAATCGCAACTGGGATACACACACACACACATCCTTATATTTATAACGGTTTGAATTAATATCTACAATATTTGAAACTAGATTTATTAAATAAACAAAGAATGAACAGGAATCGGGGGATTGTTGTCTTCTTCAAAGAACTCTCATCTCGTTCGTGGAATACAAAGGATTCGAAATAATTCAAACTCTCTCTGTGTGTGTGTGTGTGTGGTGATACAAACTTAAAGAGAGGATCCTAATTAATTACAACGCTAATATATAAGCACACACACACACATGTCCATTTTTTGTATAGCATCTAATGTAAGAAATTAAACTGATGACATCACAGCGTCAACAAGGTCATATTTATTTCTAAGTCTTCATTTATTTAAAATTGAGAAAAATTACATGATGATCATTTATTTTGGAACATGTGGCTAGTGATCAAATAAAGGAAATTACAAGTTCATTTGGAAACGCTAGGATATGTGGTAATTTAAACCACATTTTTATTGTGTTGCCAATCATATAGACTGTAAATAAACCTGAAATATTACATATATTTCACTCCAAAGGCTTGAATTATTAACGTAGGAGGAACATCTTAAACCAATAAGCAGAATCTTTGAGATATCTCTTAAGGTTGTTCTTGTAATCTACATACGTTAGTCCAAATCGAACTGCGTAGCCAGAAGTCCACTCAAAGTCATCCATAAATGACCATGCATAGTACCCCTTCACGTTCACCCCATCCCTAAGATACATATATATAATCAAACACAAATTAATTAGATCAACATAGTTAATATTCAATATATGAACAAGCATTGTTATCATAAAGTAATGCGTGTGCGTGTGCGTGTGTGTGTGTCACTCACTTGATAGCTTGAAGAAGACTTCTGAGATGGCTGTCATGATATGTAATCCTAATACTGTCTTTGATGGCTTCTTGAACTGGTTTTGATGCATTATTTGCTTCAGCAACCCCTACAAATTTTCCTCAAACAAATCGATATTACAATTGACAAAGCTTAAAAAAATAATTATAGACAGAAGTGCTTCTTATGTTGTTTATGAAAAGAAGCCATAAATATGAAAGTGTATAATATATAGTTAAAGTTAATTACCATTTTCAGTGATGTAAATTTGTGGGTTTTGGTATTTGTCCTTTATGTATACCAAAAGTTGATGGAGTCCCTCGGGATAGATATATAGCCAGCTCAAATCAGTCTACAAAAGCAAATTAAGAAGGGGGGGAAAAAACATACATTATATGTCAATTATTTGGATCCTCTTAATTAAACTGTACAGTCTCATGATTATTATCTGAAGAGAGGACAAGGATAACGATAACTGGGCGACTCGTATCACTATATAATTATTAACTATGCATTTAGTATTCTCATCTTATTTTTCAGGTGTATCTAACATTTCGATTTTTTATATGATGCATCCAGCACCCTAATATTAATATATTAAAAAGTATCCAAATCTGCAGAAGAGGAACTTACCGGGGTACCAATGGGGAGGCCATTTCTTGAGGCTGAGATTTTGGAAAGAAAGTAAAGTGAATTAATATAAAATGTCAGTACATTAATTAAAGGGCAATTTTTGAAGAAAGATTAATCTATGATAGTAGAGTTATACCAATAATATTTTATTTTAATTTAATTTAATTACTTACTTGAGAAAGTGACATGGATATCAGAAGTGTAACTTTTATTAACAGTGCTGGTAGAGAGAGAATTTTCTGCATAATTAGCAGTATAATAATTGATCCCAAGAAAATCACAAGACCCTTTCAACATTTCTGATTCTGATTTTGTGAATTTTGGGAGCCTATCTCCCACAATAGACCTCATGCTTTGAGGATAGTCTCCATACGTGATAGGATGAGCATTCCTACAATATTATTAACCGATTAGCTTTATATTTGGCTAATTTAAAGTTGATAATCTGAAAAAATTATTATTAATATACTATCTCCGGTCCTTAATATAAAAGCTAATTTGACTTTTAATTTGGTCCCAAATAGAATATCCTAATCCATTTTATCACTTATATTCTTCTATTTTTTTTCAAGATAGTCTTTGTAGTAGTTGTTTATGTTAAAGGTTTTATCAAATAATAGCTCCAACTAATATAAATGATTAGTAAAAGTATTTTATAAAAGACAACACATATTTATTACAAATAACTAACTTAACAAATTTTCTTAATTTACTCAAATCAGTTAACTAATTCTTATATTAAAGACCGAAGATAGTATATATATATATATATATATATAAAAGGGTTAAGGAGCAAATTTGCCCCAATCATAATAATATTGTCTGATGCGGTTAAAAAATTAATGTTAACCTTTAACATTTTTAATGATGGGAGACAATATTATTATGATTTTAAATTTTCAAAACAAATTTGTACCTTAACCAACTAATATAAACTGTCAACATTTGATTTAATTGATCCAAAACTCAAATTTTTGTTGGTTACCATCCAAAGGAAAAATCTAGAGCTCGATTTGCAGCCTCACGGTTAGCTGCGGCTTCGGACTTGAGCACAATCCAATCTGTCGCCAATGAGATACCCATTTTTCCTTTTTGAGCAGCCTGTATATAAGCATAATAGTTAAACAATTTGGTATCACATATGTTTGTGTAAATAATTTTCAAGAGAAAAAAATTAGAGATTACATATTTTAAACCATAATAATAAAAAGCTGAATCCACACAGAACATGATTTGAAATGAAACCTGATATTTCGTCTTGTAGAGTCTCGCAGCAGCAGCATGAGAAAGAAGGAGATGGTGAGCCACCAGGTAAGGCTCAGTGGCGGAGTCGCCGGCAGTGCAATTTCCGACATAGTTTGAACACCTACTCGGTGCATAGATGCCACCATTGTAGGCGTTCATAGTGAATATGTGAGGTTCATTTAGAGTGACCCAATCTTTGACTCTATCTCCAAACGTTTTAAAGCAAAAGTCTGAATACTCTTGAAAATCACCCCTAAAATCATCAAGCAATTAGAAAATTAACAAAAATACAAGTATAATGGTATTTGATTCCATCATCTTCAAATATCATAAAACTTTTAACCTTCTATATATAGAGGATTTTTAAAATTTGATAGTATTGAATTCTTCAGCTTAGCTTTGCATTATTAATTGATCTATCATTTCACCAATATTGAAAAATTACTTAAAATACAATCGTATGATAATATCTCATTATTTTAATTGCCAATTCAAATAAACTTAAATTAGTATATGTATATCTTATGAATAATACAATTTGTAATAGAATTTTAATATAAACAAGCATATTACATAGATATAGATTATTTATAGAAGATTGAGTCATTTGGCTCAACTGATACCAAAAACCACTTTAGGTCTTGGTTTAAGTCAGAAATTGTGAGTTTTGACTTTTTATGAATATGATGAAGGTAATAATTTTTTTTTTCTTTAGGTGAAGAACAGAAAAGAATAATTTATATAATAATATTACTTACACTACTTTAGGATTGAGAAATCCACCGTACTCATCTTCAAGAGCTTGAGGAACATCCCAATGAAAGAGAGTGACAAAAGGTACTAAATCTACAAGTCAACAACTACAATAATGAGTCAACAAATTTGAAAAAGAAAAAAAAAAGCTTATTATACATTTCAAAATTAAAGTTCATGTTATTACAGAAATTAATTAGTAATAATTTGGATATTAGTAAATAATTAATTGAAGGGATGGAGGACTTACCATCAGCTAGGAGCTCATTTATGAGATCGTTGTAGAATTTGACGCCCAAGTCATTCACTTTTCCCCTCCCCTCTGTACAAAAGGGAACATGCTAAGTTTTTCTCCATGACACAATTATTTTTGGTAAATAAAATTATCATAATTAATACCAGCGTTTAAAAACAAAAACAAGTTACCAGGGAAAATTCTGGACCATGAGATGGAGAATCTAAAAGAGTCCAGCCCAATCTTTTTCATCAGCTGAATGTCACTCTGCAATATTTGAAAAAAAAAAAAGAAGAAGAAGAAGATTAGCATTTATTTACGCCCACACATCTAAAAATCTCACACTGACTTTTTGAAATGTGAAAAATTTACAGCTGTTGTTAAAAATTTTCAATATTTAAAAAAAAATTAAAGAAAAATATTTAATTAATAGTACTAATTTAACTGCAAAAATTGTACCCTGAGTTTTCATAATTGAATTTGATATATGAACGATTTGAAATGAATGTTCCAACTGTTAGCGTAGCAAATTGAATTAAAGTTGATGATTATTATTACCTTGTAGTAATGATAGAAATCGTCGGCCACTGAACCAGTGCTATGATCCGATATCTTTTCTGCTCATTAATTACAAACCAAAAGTTAATCTTTGTATAGTTTAAGATCTGATCTTTGCTTCTACATTATATGATTAATTAATGGTATCTTTCAATGTTATATACAATGAGATTCAATTTACATCTAAGATTACATGAAATGAAACAAAATATGAGGTTGTGTAGAAACAAATACTCTTTCGGTCCTTAATATATGACCTAATTATTGAATTAATTTTGGTCCTAAATATAATACCTATTTCTCATATTTATCAATTTTTTCTAAATTACTTTTATGGAAATTCCCTCAAGTCTTAACCATAATCAAGTAGAAGAGAGAGAGAGAATATTAAGGAAGATGATTATGGTGTTTTAGGAAAAACATGTCATATTTCTTATAATTAACTAACTTACCTAACTTCTTTAATCTAATCAAATTAGTTAAGTAAGTCTTATATTAAGGACCAAAGGAGTAATAAAGTTAAGCTCCAAATTGAATAACACAAATACAAGTTTTAAAGCATCATTTCTGGTCCTTACTATAAGAGCTAGTTGACTAATTTAAGTAGATTAAAAAAATCAGTTAAGTTAGTTATTTGTAATAAGTAGGTATTATCTTGCCTAAAATACTTTTACTAATGAAGTGTTATTTGATTAAACATTTAACGTGTGTAACTACTACAAGGACTATCTTAAAAAAATGGATAAATATAATAAACTAAGTGAATTGTGGTCTTATGTTTATAACCAAAGTAAATGTCAAACTAGCTCTTATATTAAAAATCAAAATAATATAAAATATAAATTACCTTAAGGTCAAAGTTTCAAATTCGAAATTAAGTATTCATTAGTCATAATCTTTATTATCCAAAAACAACAAGGGAGTAAATGTAATTTCCCCTAATTTTTAATTTGTAATAGGGATGTTTTCTCTCTTAATTAAATTATTTAATTATATTTGGTTAGTGTTGTTAATTCTTATAACTTTGCTCTGTTACTATCGTTAGTCCTTATATAAGAGTTAATAGTACTAAAAAATAGAGTTAAATGATTTAATTAGGAAAAAATATACGAATATCAAATTAAAAATTAAAAAACAATGCATGTACCTACTAAAAGATTTTTCCAAAATAAACAGATTTTTCCAAAATAGCTCGAGCCCAAGTCCCCCTTCTATTTTTTTTTGACCAACCCCAAGTCCCCCTTCTTGGGTCTTATAAGAACGGAATCTAATAATAGCCATATTAAGAAATGTGAAAAAATGGATATAAAGGAAGCTCTACTGTTGTACCAAAAAAAAGAAAGAGAGAAAGCGATGCCACAAAGAATTAGATATATTGAGCTTTCGTGTATGTTCTCTCTCAGAGAGAGATCTAATGTTATGGACTTATAGTCACATGGTATGAAAGTTTTTACTTTAAGTGAAGGTCGTAAATTTAATCCGTTTGTAGTTTCAGGTCATTCATTAATACTATTCTTTTTAATAATTTGAAAAAATAAAAATAAAAGGAGAGAAAGGGAGGGAAGACGGTGGAGACCTGGGTGCTGCTTAGTAAAGGTGTCCCAAATGCTTGGTCCTTTTCCATCAATATTTGCCGCTCCTTCCGACTGTTATTATCAACAAACCAGGAAAAAAAAAAATTCAGAAGCTTTTACATGCACATAAATAATTACAATTACAAATAAATAAATAAATGAATATATATAGGTACTGTTGATAGAAAAGGACTATTGATGTCATAAATCTAAGAGCTTTGGTCGCTTAAATAAGATATTCTGAATTCGAGTCCTTACAAGTACAAAAAAGGTTTTAGAAAAGTTATTTTGAATTAAACTCGACAATACTCGAACTTGAACAAGTCGATCAAATAATTATATAAGAAAAATATTAGAAATATATGTATATATATAGAGAGAGAGAGAGGCATGCATGCGGACCTGATAAGCAGCAGAACCAGCACCAAAGACAAAGTCAGAAGGGAAGAGGGTTCTATTTAAGGGAACGGAGTAATGGCTGGGCTTTGCATCGCCACCGGCAACCGCCGTGAGAGTGGGGGCGGTGGCCACCAGAAACACACACAGCAGGACAGCAATACCTTCAACTCTCATACCTCCTTAATCTTGATATTGCTACGCACAATTGTAATCACCAACTTATATTCTATCTTGCCTACTTAATTTATAGCCATAAAATCTACAAAATAAATGAGGCAACGCTAATTTAATTTCTTCTCATCTTTGTGTGTGTTGGGGGGGGGTTTAGAGCATGATGTTCGGAATCAAATTTTTTTATTTAGATGTTACTTCTTCGATCCTATTTATAAGTCACTTCCAACATGTTTTATATAAACAAAAAAAATCTTAAATTTTATTAACTTTCATTTAAAATTTAACAACTTTTCAACTTTATCCCTATTTAATATACATTATACCTCAAATAAACAAAGTTATCATAATAATAAATAAGGGGTAAAATTGTATATTCATATAAAAATTTTCGCTCAATACCTTATAAATAGGACTAAAAAATATTTTTTCTCCTTACTCTATAAATAGAACCAGACGAATATATTAAATTGAAAAAGTGGATTTAAATCAACCTAACTAATTAATTTTTCCAGCTACTTACCATTTCGGCCCCCCTGCCCTATACAGGTCTTTAATAAAGTGGGCTCCCTGGTTCCCCCGCCACCCCAGGTCACAACCTCCCCACTACGTAAATTACGTAAATTTAAAAAAAAAAAAAGCACCATATGATATTATAAAAATACTACTTACAGCTCTTAGTATAAGAGTTAGTTGACTAATTTGAGTATATTAAGAAAATTAGTTAAGTTACTTATTTGTAATAAACAGATGTTATATTTTCTAAGATATCCTTACTAATCAAATGTATTAACTAGAACTATCATTATTATAAGAACTACATTAAAAAACTAAATAAATATGAGAGACAAAATATATTGGGATCTTATATTAAGGACCAAAATACAATTTAAATAAAGTCTTATATTAAGAACTGGAGGTAGTATTTTTTTGAAAAAATAAAGGGAAAAAAACAAGAAGATGAACATGTACAAAAGAAAAGGTCATTGGAAGTCCCACTGGGACTATTAATTGTTCATGGAAATGCTTATTACTGTGTTTTACTATATGTAAGAACTTAGAGGATATCGGTAATGTAGTTTTTTATGCCATCATCTATAATGTAATTTAAGATTGAAGAATTTGTAGTATGTTGGCTTTTATAGCTTCAGGAGCTCCTCAAATACTAATACTATAGCTGTAAAAAGACTCCATGCATTATTATTAATATATTTATAATCATTATTTTATTTTATTAATTGCAAAAATATAAAAATATTAAATTATTAATAAAAAATTAATTTTACACGATTATAAAACTAAAACTGTAATAATGCGTGCAGTGATTAATAAATTATTAGGTCTTTTTTGGGGGGGGGGCGTTGGGGTAAGGGGGAAATAGCTTGAACCCTTTTATCACTTCGGGGATGAAGGGCTCTAAAGATTTGTCTGTGTTTTCAAAAAAAAAAAAGGGGGGGTCTTTTTTTTTTTTTTGCAAAAGAGTCGATTTGATTTGAGATCGAATTATAAGTAATTGTAAACAATATTTGTATTAATGATAGTGAAAGGTCATATATTTAAATTTTATAGAAAAATGTAATATTTGAAAAACTACTATTTTTTATAGAAATTTTGTTTAAAAAAACTACTTTAAACGCTATTGATAGCATTTAAATAGAATATTTTTTTTCTTTCTAATAATTAAATATGAGAAACAAAATAAATTGGTGTTTTATATTTATTACTAAATTAAATGTCAAATTAGCTTTTATATTAATAATTAAAGATAATAGATAGTCGTAAAAAAGTTATACTTTCTTGTTTGGTATCTGATCCTGATACTGTCTTTAATGGCTTCTTGAACTGGTTTTTGACGCATTATTTGCTTCAGCCACCCCTACAATATTTTCCTCTAAACAAATTATTGTACGTATATATTATATGCTTTTTGAGTAAATGTATTATTTAATAATACAGACAGCTCTTTTGGATATATAAGTTGCTTATTATAAAAAGAAGTCACATGAGACTTGAAAGCTAATTGAAAGAGTTTAATATATATATATATATATATATATATGCCATTTTCAGTGATGCAAATTGTTGGGTTCTGGTATTTGTTCTTCACATATACCAAAAGCTGATGGAGTCCCTTGGGATAGATATAAAGCCAACTCAAAGCAGTCTACAAATTAACAGCAAAAAACAACTCTCCATATATAAATGGCCCAAAAAAAAGAAAAAGGTTACAGTGTGATCTGTGTTCGAAGAGGAGATAGAGATATAGTGATAAAAAGAACATAGCGGCGTACCAATAGGGAGACCATTTCTGGAGGCTGATATTAGAAGAAAAATGAAGTGAGTTTATGTATTAATCACACATATTATTTAGGGAAAATTTCACTGTAGGACCGCAGAAGACAATTAATCTCAAAGAGCCCCCAAAACTTTCTGAAATCTCACTGCAGGACCAAGGGGCCAATTTGATATTAATTCCACAAACGAAATGACGCCACTGCCCCTAGTAGAAACTTATTTCCTTGAGGGAACAAGTGCGGGAGAGCGCATTTGCAAGAGGAACTAGCCAATTTGCAAAATAAATACATATATTCACACGTGGAATCAGTCCGTTCACATGTAGACTGGTTCAGTTGAAGCATGTGTCCGTGAGGGAACAAGTGCGGGAGAGCGCATTTGCAAGGGGAACTAGCCAATTTGCAGAATAAATACATATATTCACACGTGGAATCAGTCCGTTCACATGTGAACTGGTTCACCTAAAGCATGTGTCAGTGAGGGAACAAGTGTGAGAGATCGCATTTGCACGGGGAACTAGCCAATTTGCAGAAGAAATACATATATTCACACGTGGAATCAGTCCGTTCACATGTGGACTGGTTCACCTGATGCTAAGGGTAGTGGTGTCATTTCATTTGTGGAATTAATATCAGATTGGCCCCTTGGTCCTTCAGTGAGGTTTCAGAAAGTTTTGGGGGCTTTTTGAGATTAATTGTCTTATGCGGTCCTACAGTGAAATTTTCCCTATCATTTAAGGTTTGAAAGATATATAATAGGGAAGTTTTTATGAGATACTTGAGTTATAAACCAATAATATCTTAATTATTTAATTACTTACTTGAGATAGTGGCATGCATATCAGAAGTGTAACTTTTATTAACAGTACTGGTAGAGAGGGGATTTTCTGCGTAATTAGCAGTGTAATAATTGAGACCAAGAAAATCATAAGATCCTTTTAACAGTTTTGATTCTTCTTTTGTGAATTTAGGGAGTCTATTTCCCACCACAGATCTCATGACGTGCGGATAATCTCCATACGTGATAGGATTGGCATACCTGCACAAAACCATTAGCTTTATTCACTTTGGCTAATTTATATAAATTTCATAATTTATAAAAGAATATATCATCATCATCATCATCATCATCAAAACATAAACATAATGAACTAGTCTACACCATTTAAATTTGATTTGAGCGGTCCAAAACCTCAACAAAACAGAACTCCCATGCTTATCTGACTTACCATCCAAGGTGAAACTCTAGGGCTCGGTTTGCAGCCTCACGATCTGCTGCAGTTTCAAACGTTGGCACGATCCCATGTGTCGTTAATGTGATTCCTATTTGTCCTTTTTGGGTAGCCTATAATTGTAATGAATCATTCAGTATATTAAAAAAGAAAAAAGTACATATATATATATATATATGGGGAATGCTTTTCCGATTCTAAATATATATATGAGTAATTAAGAAACAATTTTTTATCATAAATGCAGGTCTTTGATCAATTTTATTTATCATATTTATCATTTTTCCTTCAAACTAAATTTATCTGACTTATAAATTTATATCTAAACTAATATTACATGTGGGTATTTTGAGAAGATTATATCGTATTTGTTAAAATTAAATAATTTTTTTAATTTATCTAAATTAATTAGTTAAATTACTTTTATATTAAGAATCAAATCGAAAGAGTCCAAAAAGTTGAATCGACATGCTAATTTCCCAAGGCTAAAAGAGTATGATTTGCAAGGGAACCTGATATTTGGTTTTGTAGAGTGTAACAGTGGCTGCATGAGAAAGAAGCAGATAGTGGCCCACCATGCAGGGCTCGGTGGCAGAGTCCCCGGCGGTGCAATTTCCGACGTAGTCAGAGCACCTGCCTGGTGCTGAAGCACCATCGTTGTAGCCTCTTACAGTGAATATGTGAGGTTCATTTAGAGTAACCCAGTATTTAACCCTATCGCCAAACGCTTTGAAGCAGAAGTCAGCTTAATCTCGAAAATCATCCTTAATATAAAATCATTAATCAATAATTAACTTATTATTTCACTAACACATATATAAAGAGATTTGATGTACAATGATGTAACATTTACACTATTTAGGATTAAGAAATCCACCATACTCATCCGTGAGAGCTTGAGGAACATCCCAATGAAAGATTGTGACAAAGGGTAGTATTATACCTATACATCAACAATGACGAACAATATTCCCATTAATTTCGGAAAAGTGCATGCTATCATATTACAGAAATTATTAATTAATAACAATTTGGATATTAATAATCAATAAGTGAAGGGATAGAGAGACAGAGCCTGACCATTAGCAAGGAGCTCATTTATAACATCATTGTAGAATTTGACACCCCACTCATTCACTTTTCCTTTGCCCTCTGCAATATTAAAAACAAATAATAATTATTTTTAAATCACTTTGATCAATATTATGCAAAATTATCTTTACCGTCGTCTAATTAGAAATAAAGAAAAAACTTACCAGGGAAAATTCTAGACCATGAGATGGAGAATCTAAAGGAATCCAGACCAATTTTTTTCATCAGTTGTATGTCACTCCGCAAATTAAATATGCATTTTCACTCAAAAATTATATTTGTGCGTGTGTCTATATATATATAAGGGTTGGGGAATATTGATAAGATAGATATGAGAACCTTGTAGCGATGGCAAAAATCGTCGGCCACTGCACCAGTGCTGTGA